AAGTTACATTACAATTTCGTAAGTTACAATGTAATTTACATGAAACGTAACAAAGTAATTTATGTAATACATCCCTAGGGGTATGTTAAACGAAGAATTAAATTGGTCTGGCCTAATGAATCGTTATTGTTCATTGTACTCATGGTTAAAAATCCTTATTGTTTTTGTACAATATATGAGTGACGCCAAGGGAAAAAGGAACATTCGTTTTTATTGATTATTTATCTGATAGACAACACATCAGGCTTCAATTATGATAAACTAACCTCTCGATCATCAGATAAATAATCAATAAAAACGAATGTTCTCTTTTCCCTTGGCGTCACTCATATGCATAATATTTTTTTTACAAATTGCACAGTTGAATGTTTGATGGTGTAAGCCGAATAGTCATATACCTCTATACTCAATAAAGTATTTATGTAATCTATCTTTTTGCACTGCATGTGTGCACAGAGTTTTCAACACTGTATAAATAATTGTAAATACCTAGATATCGAAGTTATTATTCTATTTAGTTATTTTATCACAATGCCACTGCTTAGTTATATCGTATTTACTTTTTATATTTTCATTTTTCTTTTAAATTTTATTTTTACTTTTTCTACCTTTATTCCGGAAAGAAAATATTCACATTCCTCAATTCTTATTAATAAGAAACTCTATTTTAACGGTGGATACTATCTTCCTGGGAATGTTTACACGACGAATGAATTCTTTTATTTGGATGTTTCTAAATCATTTACAATCGATGATATTTTAATACCATGGAATGACCTTACTTATACCGGCAGTCCTTCTAAAGCTTCTGCTACAGTGTGCACAGATGGAAAAAATAATGATTTGATTTTTATGTTTGGTGGTTATCCTTATAAATCACCATTCATTAATCAATTTGATATAAGTAAACAACAATGGATTAATATCACATCTACTGGAAATGAACCCACACTTAGATCTAGTATTTCATGTATTAATTTTAATAATGGATTGATTGCTATTTTTAGTGGTTATAATAACGCTGTTAATATCACAAATGATCTTTGGATATTCAATACATTAACATTAACATGGATTCAAAGCAATGCAACAAATGTACCATCAGCTCATTGGGGTTACAGTGCAATAATCTTTCCTGATAAAAGTATTTTATATATTGGTGGGAAATATTTTGTCGACTCTACCAACCCTTATAGGCCGATGATGAATAATGTAAGCATTATATTTTAATAAAATTAATCATTTATCTTTAAATATTAACATTTCATAGTTATCGTTATATAATACAAATTCTGATACGTGGTCATATGTGGTACGTAATAAATAAATGTAATTTTCGTTATGTTTTAGTAACTAATAATCTAAATTTGATATCTAATTAGATTATATCTGGCCCAACTCCTCCGGCTCGCGAATATCCCTCTGCGGTATTAAGTATGTCATTTAACAATATCATTAAATGTTTTAGTATAAAAGTTTCTTTTATTAAATGTTTAAAAATTGAAAGCTCCCGACGGACGCATTATACTTTTCGGTGGTTATAATGGAACTGCAAGCTTGGGCGATTTGTGGATTTTAGATGCTTACACTTATCAATGGTCAATTGGAAATATTTTAAATCCAATTGTGGATTTAGTTCTTCATAGACACACTGCGACTTTGGTGGATAACTATATGTTTGTTGCTTTTGGTAAAATTCTTTATTGTTTTATGTTGTTTTATTTGGAAATTTTTATTAAACTTACTAAGCCTTTATTTGTTCAATAGGTCTTTTCACAGTTAATAACCTTTCATCAAAAATATTTATGCTAGATGTAAGCCAAAAATATTCCTATAAATGGGTTACTGAATTTATTTCAAATGCCACAACTACTACAGCTACAACAATTTCAAGCAATCCAATTTCAAGCAAAATGGAAAGTTCAGGCTCTAAAAACACCAGTTTAATTATCGGTTCAATCATTGGTGGTATTATTTTTTTAGTAATATTCGTTATAGCCAGTATTTTAACTCTAAAATTTATTAATCAACATAAAACTACGAGTTATTCAAATGACATATAAATTAGTTCCTTTAACTAATATGACTAGTTTTTACTATTAAAAACCTTGATTAATAATCATCACTATACACCTGCACTACGGTTGTAATTTGACCAAATTGTACATTCACAGTCAAACTGGAATAGCAGTAACAAAAATATGTCATACTTCTCAATTCTATATTTGTCTGATCATTAAATTGTTATTACCTTTCATAATTGTACTGCCATAGCTATGCTTTATTAACTTTGTAGGATTAGACATTATTGTGTATTTTAGAGGTGAGATGCAGCTACAGTGGATGTCATATCTCAAAGTGTAGGTCAATGGTAAGGTTAATGATCTATGAGATGTTCAATGATACCTAGTGTAATCCATAATATGTGCTCTCGTCTTGATTAAAAGATGAATGTATAAACTCTAAATATCATCACTAAAATAAAGGTCACATCAATTTATAACAATCATAAAAAATAAGAGTTCCATCTTTTATCGAGCTTAAGTGATGTAACCATCGGATATAAACCCTGCATGACTGTAGCAAACGATGGTGAGTATATTTTAAATTTAGTAAATTAGTATTTCAAAGTGATTTGTAAAACTCAACAATAATGATAGTTTAGTGTTTACCATGCTCTTTTCTTTCTGTATTTTATAATATGTTATATATATTTAATTTTGTTTGAATCAAGCTTTGCACCTTTATTTTCTTATAAACAAGATCTTATACGTGCAAGTCTAAATAGTATGCTGATATTAATTGTAATGTTATCATTCATTTATGCCCATAGACGCTATTTTAAGCCAAGTCGGTATTAATATTGTTACAGCTACTTAAATCAATAGCTTGGATAGAACTTTATAGATTTTTAAAGCTTTTACTAAATCCTATAATTCAAACTAAGAACAGGAACCGTATAAGTCCTTTAAGAAATTTTTAATTTTTCAAAAATAAAATTAGGTTTAAATTTTTTATTATTATTTTCAAACTTAATAGCAATTCTTGTTTTTTATACAACTATTCATTAAATAATCTTCTACTTAATAGAATTTACTAAATTAATTAATGAATTGTAACCAAATAAAAATTTGAAAATGCGTTTAACCAATCAAACAGTTAAACCATGTAACTAATCATAAAGTTGCTTGATCAAAAATACTAGGGTACTAGGGAAACTACATGTGGTACATTATCATGTAAAACTTAATATTAATATGTAAAATTTTTATATAGTGTGCAATTTTTTATTTATAGATTTAAATAGATGCAAAGTTCTAACAGTTAACATTTTAGTATAAAATTTTACAAGGACTAATATTATAGCTCTCTAAGCAAAGTTACGAATTTATTTCTCTCATTTAAATATAATAGAGAGACTTAGTTCAGTCAATTTTTAAATTCTTCAAGTTTAAAAAAGAAATGGCTTCGTACTTCACTTGTAGAGTTATAATATTTGCCTCTGCAAAATTTTATCCTAAAATATTAAATCGTTAAGACTGTACATTTATTTAAATTTCGCGAAAAATTATATGTTACTAGTTGTAAACCCGTGCAATAATGTACTGGATTAAATATAATAAAACTTAAATATAATTTAAAAGTGAGAAAAATAGCCCAAGAAGTTCGGCCACAGTTAATAATTGCTGGCTACAGTAGTTATAGTTTACAAATAGATTTTGCTAAATTTCGACAAATTGCTGATGAGGTGGGGGTTGGTTTGTTAAGATTTATTTAAATTTTATACTGTATAGATTTTTTATTTTAAAAATTTTTAATATTTATATATAATAAATTGAATTAATTTATTTTAACCATAGCTATATTAATATAGCTTTTTTTATAGAAAAATTGTACAGCTATATTAATATTAGGATTAGTGTTTAGGGTTAGAGTAAGGTAAATTGTGAAAAGAGCATTTTTACTTAGTTACACAACAGGGTTACCTTGTAAAATTTCGAGTTATTATGGAATTATTGAATATAGCTACACGTAGCTATGACTATATATAAAATTTTATAAATTGGTAAAAACTTTTTTTAATATTTAATTATTTAACTATTATATGTGTTGCTATTTTAATACTAATTTTATAATTTTAAATAGGAAAAGGATATATGTAGCCATGGCTACATGTAGCCATATTTCAATAATTCTATAATAACTCAAAATTTTACTAGGGTAAGCCTTGTTATGTAACTAAATAAAAATGTTTCTCTCACAATTTTACCCTAAGCCCAACTCTAACCCTAACTCTAACACTAACCTAACTCTAATTTAACCTAACTCTAAATCTAACCCTAATGTTAATAGGCTGCACAATTTTTCTATAAAAAAACTATATTTAATAGTACAGCTACAAATAAATTAATTCTTTTAAATATTAGATAATATAAGGCCATATGAAGTTAATTTTTTCGTCACCCTCTCCAAGTGGCAGGTCTAGAGTTCGAATCTCACAGATGATGAATTTTGAAAAATAGCCTTTGCTTCAGTTTATAGTTGTGATTATTGGTTGGATCTAGAAATCTGTAATCTCAGTTACACTATCTAGTAATGGGAGCTTTGGTGCAATAAATCTGAGAAACTGACATAACTGAAAACCCATTTGGCAAGTCTCAAATTTGGAAGTAGCAGTGATCTTTGATAGTACCACAGGAGGGCTAAATTCAAACCAGGGCCTGAGATTGGAGAACTGAGCAACCAAGTCTACTGGCAGAGGACACACCAGCTGAACTGCTAGGTTGTTACACCAGAAAAAAAGGGCATACACTCTGAAAATATGAACCAAGAGAAGGGCATCTAAAGCCTAAGTAGACCAACCTTTCTGGGTTGCCAGCTGGAAGTAAGGGAGGGACCAATAAAGAATCTGGGCAAATCTATCAGACTGGTTTCAATTAGGTATGAGACTGGACGGACTGTTAAACTAATTACTAAATTAAATATAAATTATAAATTATTATATATTACTTGTTTATTATTATAAACTCCATTTAAATTATTAGTTTATTACTTATTTATTACATAAAAACCACAGTACCTCTAAACTATAGATGTGATCTGTTATCCATTTCTTAATGGATATTTGGATATCTGGATTCTTTACAATAATTTTATTATAAAATTAAATTAGAGGATATTCAGATTGCATCTTTAACTCTAGACAAATATTTAACCCTGTCTATTATTAGAACTAGTGATGGCATGCATATAAATTTTGAGAATCATGCATATAATTTTATAAGTATATTTTAATGTACAGTACCTTATACTGTAAGTATATCAGACAAGTATTTTAAATAATTAAAAGTACTAGAAAAGACCTGCTATTATAATAAAATAGAAATAAACTAAAAAAAAACTAATTAAAATTTATTATCATTGTCTAAGCCTCTAAAAAATATATATTCTTAGATTAATTTTTGCCTATCATGAGTGTTTTTACCAATCATATTTTTTGTAAAAAATAAGATACAACTTATATTCTTAATTTATTTCAAATTACTAATTTATTTTAACATTATGGCTGTAGGAGTAAATATAATTCTCCAAAACATATAAAAGATCAGTAATCAATATTTTTACAGCACTTACTTGTTTATTATGATGACTAATCCATACAGCAGGTTGTATAAAATAAATTTTAAAATAAGTATTTTAGAAATTACAGAAGATCTGGTTAGTTATATAATTAAATTATATAGTAAGTGAGTGTAAATATCTATTTTAAAAATATACCACACTAATCTCATTATCAATATTGTGAAATTTGTAGATCAAAAAAAAAAAAAGATAGTCTGACAGTATAGCATCTACATGATTTATCTTTCTTATCAGCACAACAATTGATATTTTATTTTTTTGATCTACATAATGACAATTATGTTAACTTCATATAGATGTTGTATACAATGTATATGATCTGCTATCATGACATTCAAAATAAAGAATAATATCCTTATTTTCCACTGCAGGAAAATAAGCCAGTAAATATCTGGCTATATGAGGCCTTCAAACTCTTATATAGCCAGGAATTTACTGTTATTGCAAAAAATAAGCACTATTTATTTCCTGCAATGGCATGAATAAGAGATAAATCTCTGATCATCTAGGGCCTGAAGGGATTATAGCAGGCTGAAGATCTACTGGATTATTTCTTCATAACGATAAAATAAGGGTATTATTCTTTATTTTAATATAATGTTATGACAGGCTTTACAACTTATGATCACTATTTTGATCAATAAAAAAATTGAGTTTCTAGTATTATTCACTTCTAATTTAATTTCTTTTTTATTTATTTTTTTTTTGGTGTTAAGGTGACTTTCTTTGGCCTGGGGACTTTTTATTAGAATATAACTGGAGTTTTATAATGTAATTACAATGATGGTATATCAAGCTACACATGTACCTTTTGAGTGTCTAATTTAAGTAGTCTGCCCGAAAGTTCTACACTATCTGCTGTACCTGCACCCCAACTAGAGGGGTACCCATTTAAACCATCTGGTTCTAACTACTTCCAGCAGCCATCTAACCCTGGGTATACCTTACTATACATATGTAGATTTCGGATATTACCCATTGTGGATTTCGCACTCTACCTTAGGACTTACTAACTACACAGATTTTGTCAATCTCTATCATTAAGACTTACTAACCATATATGGCGAATCTATCCTCAAAGGTAAACCTAACAGAGCGGTACATGTCCTACACATGTATTCACCTACATGTTCCTTTCTAATTAGTACATATTGACCTGCTGTTCTATATTAGTATCTCATGTCACCTTTGGGTGCTGCCTTTTTACGGACATTTCTCAAGCACCAATCTTTCTAACTAGGTGCCCATTACATACTTCTTGCCCTTATTCAGTTCACAACAACCCCAGTACCCACATTTGGACCATCTTCTTATCCGGATTCTTTATCAGTCTCTTCTTTACTTCCAGCTGGCAACTCAGATGAGTCAGTCTGCCCAGGCTTTAGGTGCCTGAAGAATGCCCTTCTCTTGGTCTATACTTTTGGAGTGTATATCCTTTTCCTTCAATGCATCAGCCCAGCAGTTCAGCTGGTGTGTTCCCCACTTAAGAACCTGATCGCTCAGTTCTCCAATCTCAGACCCTGGTTTAAATTCAGCCCTCCTGTGGCATTATCAAAGATCACTGCTATTTCCAAATTCGGGACTTGCCAAATAGGTTTTTGGTTATGCCAATTTCTCAGATTTATTGCGCCAAAGCTCTTATTACTAGATGGTGTGACTGAGATTACAGATTTCTAGATCCAACTAATAATTACAACTGTAAACCGAGACACAGGCTATTTTTTAAAATTCGTCGTTCATGAGATTTAAACTCTAGACCTGCCACTTGGAGAGGGTGACAACTAGACCACTACACTAAGTCGCCACACCTCTTTAATTTCTTTTTATTAATTTAATGAGATTATAATAGTAGATATATTTAAAATAAGACATTTTATTATATAGTATTTATCAAATTAGTTTGTAAATATAGTTTAAAAAAAATTTTTACTACTCTTTAAATTATTCTATTTCAATAAGATTATCAATTATCTGCTATTCTTATTAATATAAAGTCACTTATTTAGATTAATTTAACCGGTAATTATAAAAATAATTGTTAATCAAACTATTTGAAAGCAATGTATATACTTTTTATCAGTTTTATTAGTTTATTGTCTGTGCTGATTTGGTTGATAAACAATTATTTATTCAAGTTAATTCAGTCATTATTATTTATTAATTAAAATGTTTGAAATAATCTATATATCTATTATTAATTTCTTATCTGTTCTGATTTATAATTTTTATAAGTTGAATTTTGAAAATTTATATACAAAATACTGATTATAAATTTTAGTCTTATCTAAAACAAAGTTGTGCACTTGCAAAGCTCATTTGCTTTTCCATCAATCTGGCTTTTAATTTAAAATGAAAAAAAATAAAATCAACATGTGAATAATAATATATCAAATCACTAGAAGATTCAAATATTCAATGAATTTATCTGGATATTATTCAATTTTCTAACCAATATCCAGATATTAAAAAAGGTAGATTAATAAATATTTGTATTGTTAGTTTTAACTAGATCAGATCATATCTCAAAGATTTAATTCTTTCAAGGATTGTTTCTACAAAGTGCATTGATTAATGTATTTCATTCTTCTGATCTGAGTTCATATTATAAAACTCAAAGAAGCCAGGAAAATGTTCTTGTAAGTACATCTTTTAATGCTTTTTTATTGCAAGATATGCTTACAAAGGTCTTTTCACTTTGATTCAAGTTTATTAGAATGAGTCAGCATGGTGTTTTTTTGTTAATGACATTCTACTTCTTCAAAATATCAGTTCAGTATATTGGCTAGTTTAAATACTGTGCCTCATAAAATTTAAATTTTTCTTCCTGGATTCAATAACCTGGCTGGGTTATGAGAACCAAAAAAATTAATTTTTCTGGCCTAAACTATAAAATAAACATGTTTTATTTTGTTTAGTATAACAGAAAATTTTTTATTTATTTTACTAGTATTTTACTTAAAATGATAGAAGTTAAGAATTTTTTTTACACATTTTATACAAAATTAATATAATTATTTTACAATTTTAACTTATTAGTGTTACTAAAAACTATAAATTTTTTTATTTAAAGTACTTAATACTGCAATATTTTATTATTTTATATGATATTTAACCTTCTTTAATTCTATAATTACA